GCAGGAAGACTACATTTGTCAGAGTGGTGCTATGTAGCACTTTGCAGTGTGCTGACCCTGAGGTTTCCCTTGAAGTAGTGACACAAATCTAGTCCTAATGAGCAGTGGAAGATCTGCTGAAAGAAATGGACTTCTAGTGACCACACTGGTGTCAATAGTTGAGCCAAAGAGAAAGATCCTCTTGGCACTTGCATCCTCTCATGATTGCTATAGGGGTAAAATATAACTCTTGGTGTTCCACTGTCTACATCAAAATAAACTAGTTAGATTCACAGGAAGGACGACAGACTGGGAAAGATAGTGCTCTGAGGGACTGCTCTTCTGATAGCCAAGTGAGTCGGCAGCTCTTGACGAGTGCAGCTTGCAGTTACTGAGAAAGACTGACCACATCCTTTATTCAGAATTTGCACTACAGAAATACTTGAACAGGTAAGTCCAAGAGTCAAAACAATATTTTGGGAGAATCTTGTCTTCTCAAGGCCATCACACCTTCACAGCTATTTTTCTGCCATCAGCCCAACTCTAGGCATTGGCTACGCTCCTTAGGATAAGGCCACCAGAATTACATTGCGAAACTGTTGCCCCACTGGACCAAACGCTCCGTTACCTTGTACTGTGCATACTGTACAGAGCACAAATGATGAACACCCTGAATGTGTTGATGTTAAGAGAACTTAGGGTGTAAACAACAGCAGAATTTGCCCTAACCAAGGGAAAATCTCTGATGCTCTAAACAAAACAATTAAGCGTTAAATTTCTAGAAAGTTGGAGCAGATATTCCAGTTGTTCCACTGTGGCAGGTGGGCAGAGTGGGAAAGAGATCTTGGGCTAACAAATGAACCCAGTTTTTCCTGCAGGGCCTGCTTTCCATTTGGGAGCAGCTTGACTACCGCAGGGTAAGTCTGCTGAGCAAACTAACCTCATCTCATGCATTTGGTGCTATGTTTATTCACAGGGAGGTGTTCAGGCCAGGTCTGGCATGGAGCTGATCTAGAGCCAGACCCATTCTGGCTCTGCATGCAGCACAGACTCAGCAATGCTTCTTTGGCTACTTCCAAAGTGGATTTCCTGGGACTGGATCCTGCTGAGCTGCCCATTGCTGATTTAGACACTGCTCCTAGAGAAAACTTGAAGACAGAAGAACTTCAAGATCGTCTTGTCTAGCTTCTGACATAAACAGGCCAGAAAGCCCATGCAGGAAGCCCTGCCTGGAGCCTGCTCTGACAGAATTAGATGAAGACACACAGCGTCAGTTTGGCTCTCTGCTGCTCATAGTGTATCACCAATGCTGCTCAAGGGGACTGGAAATTAAACAGAAAGGTTGCGGTTTTTTAATTTATTTATTTCACTGATCAATTCAGGTAGTAAACATTAATAATAATAATAATAATAACAATAATCATTTAATAAAATGGATATGTTTTAAAAGGTTTCATTTTTCTTTGTTCACAATGACAAAATGTTCAAACAGAAATTTACAAAAAAATATATATTATAATAACCCAACAGGTGGACAGGAAACAAAGAGCCTAGGAATGGAGCAGGGGGTGAGGAAGTTGCATGGCAGGAGCAAGCCAGCATTAAAGCACAGCGGAGTTTGTGAGTAAGAGCAGGGAACGCCATCACAGAGCACGAAGAGTGGGACCACTCCTTCTCTGGGGGGAGGCATGCAAGGAGGCAGCAAGGACTGCACAGACAGGACCAGCACAGCAATGGAACACCAGGAGTTCATGCCACGGCTCCATCCCCAGTCAGGCACAAGGTCCAAGAAGTTGTAAGGACAGCCCCAGGTGCGGAGTGGCACACCACCCCTGCGGCGACCCGCTCAGCAGGGCAAAGCTTGGCAGAGGCGTGGGAATGTGCCTGGGGGCGCAGGGGTCACACATAAGGCTGTGGAGGGTTGCGTGAGGGGAGGTGTTAAATTACTTTCCTATCCACACTTCTCACTGCCAGAGCCAAATGGCCAAGCTACATTTGTTCAGAGTCTTCTCCACTTACTGTGCAGCTCAATGCAGCGGTACAAAACACTCCTTTAATAAACAGATGCCACCTTCCAGGCCAGAGTCTGACTCCGTGGTGCCCCCCAAAGTCAGTCTCTAATCCTTTTCCAGGCAGCCCCCAAACTCTGCTGCTGTGGGCAAGGAACCTCCTACACGGAGACGTAGCGGTACCACTGCCCCTCTGCAGAAGCCATCTCTGGTGCCTCAATCCTGCGCATTTTTTTCCTAAGTGCAACTTGAACCATCTTGGCCAGCTGGTAGCCGAAGGCTTCAGGTCTCTGCAGAGGACAGACTTGTGACTATCAACTTGATGTAGGAGCCATGTGCACTGAGCTGATGGAGACTTCCTCACCCAGAGGGACAGTTGCAGATTCACCCTCAGCAATCCTGCCTGCTTGTGACCAGCGTACCCTGTGTTCTCACCTGCACACAGCCCAGGATAAAAGCTGTCAGCTCCTCTATGTCCATGCTAAAGGGTAAAGGTCTCCTTTATCTTCTAGGAATGAATCTGTTCAAAAGTGGAACATCTGCAGCTGGACAGGGCTCATTTGCAACAGAACATCCTCCTCACAGACAAGACTAGTGTAAGAAAAGAGGGGACAGGTACTGCAAGATGTTTCCCATTATGCTAGCACAGCTAAAGCTAAGAACTCAGCAGTCCTCCTGCTTCAGACAGCAGCAAACCAGCTCCAGAAAACCTGGAGGAAGCTGCTGTTTCAGGCTACTCCACTGCTCAAGTAAGCACATCGCACAAAGAAAGGTTGCATTTCCTCCTCAAACACCTTGGTCCTGCATGTTTAGGAAGGCAAACTGAACCCTTCCCCTCTCCTAGGCTGGCACTGCTGCTGTCATTTGTGAGCCCAATACAGGAGGAGAATGAAAAAAAAAGAAAAAAACCCAACATTGTTGGACACCGCTCTTGCCCAACTTGCGAATTTCTGCCAAAGGGCTTCCACTCTCGCTTTGTCTTTCCACACTGTGCCAGGGTCTCTCCCCTGCCCCTACAGCCCATGTTCTGGCTAAGCTGAGGCTCTGTACAGTGAATAACTGGAACCAGCCAACCTACTCACCACCTGGACAAGTCCTGATCAGGACTCTAAAGCCCCATGGGGGAATCGGACAAACGCAGCACCTAATAACAGAATTTAGGACCTGGCTATTCCTGGCCAACACTGCTTCCTACCCAGGGAGATGTACTGGGGATAGCCAGAGATGGAGGAACAGATACAAAAAGGGACAGAGGAATTGGGCCAAGAGCCAGAGAAGCAGAAGGGCCCAGCCCATGGCAGCACTCCCTGGAGTTGGAGGGAAGACCCTCTCTCCCTCCAACAGCCCTGATTCCATGCGAACACGGCAGTGTTGCTGGCGAGGCCTGCCCTGTCAGGCACATCACACTCTGGGGCTCTGCTCTGACTGGGCTAAAGTTAAAAATACTGCAGGAAGCAAGAACAGGACAGAAACTGCTGCCCAAAGAGTGCTCTTATCTCTGCCCAGCAGATCCACCACCCTTCCCAGCACTGAGACAGGAAGAGCCTCGGACCAGGGAGGGGGAGAAGGGCTGAGTCCCAGTGGAAGGGCAGGGAAGCAAGTGTCAAGTCTGCTGGGCTGCGCTCAGGCCCATGCAGTGATGCTCCTGCACCTGCCATGCCGACCCAAGACCTGCCGGGACAGGTGGCTT